ATTTTCTTCTTCGTTGCAATCCCTAAATTGTGTTCTTACCTCAATTAATTACACCATTACAAGGAGAATGGGAATGGTTCGAGAATCGAGACTCCAAAGTGAAGTCTAATCGGTACACAAACTGAAGCGTTTTGAAGCTTGTCTCTCGCAATCTCCGTCGGGTTAAAAGAGAGGGTTTTGCGTTTGCTTTTGGGTGCTTCGGTCTGATTCGGTGGAATTTGGTTTAATGGACATGGAGAGGTAATCTTCGGAAGGAAAATTCGTTGCCTGATTTGTGTTTGGATTAGGTTTTTTTTCATTTCTCATTCTGGTTTTGGCTTCAATTGGGTTAGATGTGTGTTTTGATCTAGTTGCACTTCACTTCTTGTCTGATTCTCTCTTCTAATTGTTTCTTTGTTATGATTTTTTTTTTCTTTCCATTTTAGCATTTTTGGTTACATAAAAAGAAAGATAATTAGAGATCTACACCAATCTGTATTGGTTTTTGTATCTACTGATTCTGTGTTGAACATTAATTGTTCTCATTTCGAAGTGTTGTGTAGTATTACTCTCTATTACACAAATGTCACTAGGACCAATAATTGTTCCTTGTATTATTGACATTGATTGGATAGTAGATAACTGTCGTGTGCATTTGTTTTGCCGTCTTTGGTTTGATGCAGTGCAGATACTGAGCCTACCAGTTTAAATTGTGGGAACAATATGGTTGTGAGGGCTTACCCATTAGGGATGGTACGGATTATGAATAACAATGGCATTGGTGAAGACGAAGGAGACTCTGGCGTCGAACCATATGTTGGATTAGAGTTTGATACTGCAGAGGAAGCGCGGGACTTCTACAACTCTTATGCTACGAGGACGGGTTTTAAGGTTAGGACGGGTCAGTTGTATAGATCGAGGACCGATGGCACGGTTTCATCAAGGAGATTTGTTTGCTCAAAGGAAGGTTTTCAGTTAAATTCAAGAACCGGATGTCCTGCGTTTATACGAGTTCAGCGAAGAGATACAGGGAAATGGGTTCTTGACCAGATTCAGAAGGAGCACAACCACGAGCTTGGAGGTCATATGGAGGAGACTACTACTCCCCGTCCCTCAGTACAACCGAGAACACCAGCTCCTACGAAGCTAGCTATATCAGTTCCACATAGACCCAAGATGAAAGTCGTTGACGAGGTTGATAAAGGACGGTCATGCCCTTCTGGTGTGATCTCTTTTAAGCGCTTCAAAGGAGCTGAAGAGAGTGAAGGGCAAACGCAGCCCAAGGCTACTGAACCGTATGCAGGGCTGGAGTTTGGCTCAGCTAATGACGCGTGCCAGTTTTATCAAGCGTATGCAGAAGTTGTGGGTTTTAGAGTTCGGATTGGTCAGTTGTTTCGGTCTAAAGTCGATGGATCGATCACATCCAGGAGATTTGTTTGTTCGAAAGAAGGCTTTCAGCATCCTTCGAGAATGGGCTGTGGAGCTTACATGAGGATCAAAAGACAGGATTCCGGAGGTTGGATAGTCGATCGTCTCAATAAAGATCATAATCACGAGCTTGAACCGGGAAAGAAGAACGCCGGTATGAAAAAGATTACAGAGGATGTGACAGGAGGGTTGGATTCTGTGGATCTTATCGAACTAAATGATTTCAGTAATCACATCAATAAAACCCGAGAAAACACCATAGGTAAGGAATGGTATCCAGTGCTTCTCGATTACTTTCAGTCAAAACAGGCAGAAGACATGGGATTCTTTTACGCGGTCGAGCTTGATGGCAATGGAAGTTGCATGAGCATTTTCTGGTCAGATAGTCGGTCAAGATTCGCCTGCAGTCAGTTTGGTGATGCTGTAGTTTTCGATACTTCGTATAGAAAAGGAGACTACTCTGTTCCTTTTGCTATGTTTATCGGTTTTAATCACCATAGGCAACCCGTGCTTCTCGGGGGTGCCTTAGTTGCTGATGAATCTAAAGAGGCTTTCTCATGGCTGTTTCAGACATGGCTTCGTGCCATGTCAGGTCGTCGTCCGAGATCTATTGTAGCTGATCAAGACTTGCCTATCCAGCAAGCTGTGGCTCAAGTCTTTCCCGGGACTCATCACCGGTTCTCAGCATGGCAAATAAGGTCCAAAGAACGAGAAAATCTCAGGTCGTTTCCGAATGAATTCAAGTACGAGTATGAGAAGTGTTTATATCAGACACAGACAACGGTTGAGTTTGACACCATGTGGAGTGCTCTTGTGAACAAATACGGTCTTAGGGATAACATGTGGCTCAGAGAGATATATGAAAAGCGCGAGAATTGGGTACCGGCGTATCTAAGAGCCAGCTTCTTTGGTGGAATCCCTGTAAATGGCACGGTCGAACCATTTTTCGGCACTTCTCTGAATCCTCTAACGTCTCTCGGGGAGTTCATCTCGCGGTATGAGCAAGGCCTCGAGCAGCGCCGTGAAGAGGAAAGAAAAGAGGATTTCAATTCTTATAACTTGCAGCCGTTTCTGCAGACAAAAGAACCCGTTGAAGAGCAGTGCAGAAGGCTGTACACGCTCACCATCTTCAGAATTTTCCAGAGCGAGCTTGCGCAGTCTTATAACTACCTCGGCTTAAAGACCTATGAGGAAGGAGCCATCAGCAGATTTCTGGTGAGGAAATGTGGAAATGAGAACGAGAAGCATGCAGTGACTTTCAGCGCATCGAACCTGAATGCGAGCTGCAGTTGTCAAATGTTTGAGTACGAAGGACTTCTCTGCAGACATATCTTGAAAATATTCAACCTCTTAGACATTCGAGAACTCCCATCCCGGTATATACTACACCGCTGGACCAAGAACGCAGAGTTTGGGTTTGTACGCGATGTAGAATCAGGTGTGACTTCTCAAGACCTCAAGGCCTTGATGATCTGGAGCTTGAGGGAAGCAGCTTCAAAGTATATAGAGTTTGGTACATCGTCTCTGGAGAAGTATAAGCTTGCATATGAGATTATGCGCGAAGGCGGGAAGAAACTATGTTGGCAGAGATGAACACCAAGTAAGGTCATTGTCCTGAGTCTCTTTGTTTCCCAAGTATATAAACTAAATTATCTAAATCTTCAAATGCGTGTGTGGTAGCGAGGTTGTGTTGCTTCATCGGCTTCAGTCTATCCTTATGAATATCGGTCTCATTAATTGCATTCATGTTGTCAGTTTCCATTGTCTTTCAGTTTATGATTTAGCAGTTAACGAGCCTCCTCCTTCCTCTGTTACAGATTAAAAGCAAGAAGTTTTGTATGTTGTTGTAGCCTGTTGGGGTTATTTTTGTCCTCTGCGTCTGAGGAAGATGAAGCCTTGTTCATGGCAGCCGCCGATGTAAATCCTAACTCTTTGGTTAACTTCACCGCAGAAGGTGGTGGTAAAAGTCGTTTCCGGTGGAGTTTAACGACGA